ATTGTTGTGACATGCCATCACAGCAAAACAATCTGCCTTTAGTAAAACGTTCTTACTTTTAACCTGTCAGATTTTTCCATAAATACTTGGGAATACTTTGTAACCTTGAATCAAAAATATTGAATTTTTCCTCTTCTTTAAAACTGGAAGATGATCTTAAGTGGTGATTTTTTTTTTTTACAATATTGAAAGTTGTTTTGAAAACAATTCCTGCTGAAAGTCAAGTGAACAGTTTCCTTTATCTGATTTGCTCTGATGAGACCCATATTGTAGGTTATTCAAATTTGTGACAAATTTTAGGATAACAAAGCATGATTAGCATTTCCTAACCTTTTCTAGTATTTCACATCACATTTGCATATGTACAATATGCCAAGCTCTGAAATTTTTTGGCTGGAAGGCATTATGGTGGGATGAGAGAGGATAAATACATTTGCCTCACTTTTAAACTGCTTTTTGTCCACATTCATTCTTTAGCCACATTGTATAAAAACATAGCACATACATGAATGATCTCTTCCGCTCAGCCTGGCAGGAAATTGGCTGTTAATAAGTGGTGAAAGAGGCATCTGAACACTCTCCTATGCTTTATTGTATTACATCTTTAAATGTTATGTGTAGAAATGTAAATATCACAGTCAACTGAGGCAAAAGAGGGCAAGAGTAGTAACATTTATTGAGCATCTACTGTCTCTTGGTGGATCCTTTTAATTGTAACATACCTAAGGGTAGATATTATATGCATCTTACAATTGAAGAAACTAAGGCTGAAAATGTTAAGTAACTTATCCAAGTTCAGGTAACTATACCAGTAAGTGATGGAGCTGGAGTTTAAATCTGGTACTGACTAGCTTCAGAACACACTTTTTTTCTATTCATTTCTTAAAATTAGAGAAATATATTTTCTTATTTAACAGGTACCTTTCCTTGAACTTTGAGAGCTATAGAAAGTACAATATTGAATCAGACTGATGATCCATGTAACCTAATCTCTAAGGAAACTAATGGTCATTTTTCAAAAGGGAAACTTCTTAACTGTAGAAGTAACTTTATGTTCATTTCTAATAGATGACATCTGAATCCTTGTTTTGATGAAATGATACAAAAGGTTCATTGACATAAAGGTGTTTTTTTTGGTAGAAAAAAAGCGTTGTAAAGTTTCACTGGTATATAGGATAACATTGGCTTTCATATTTTCTTGCTTTTAAAGTTAGGTTCAAAATTTTATGTCTTTGCTAAACTCAGAAAGAAAGTAGATAATTGTTCTTACAAAAAATACAGCATAAAATACCTTTTAGATTATGTTTTACTTGATTTTTTCCCTTAGATTGCTTTGTTAGTATATATTGTACTGTTTATTATCTGAGTGGGTAGTTCAGAAAAGAAAGTGTTATAAAATTTGAAGTGACATATAGCTGAAAATACTGAAGAGGCTGATTGACAGATTTGAACTCCAGTCTTTAGAAACTGTAGCAGTGGGTCAGAGCTGGTGAAAGATTAATTAAAAAATTTAAATAAGAAAAAGATAATAAAAATTTAAATAAGGACTTATTCATGGGACTAAGAGTAACAACAGGTACAGCAGGTATACGATAGAGGATGCAGGACTTGCTTGCAGTGTACATAAAGAAGACAGGGATTAATGAACAGAAAACTTCATATGAGTCAACATTTTATTGTGGGCATTCCGGAAATAATGCCTATTCTCTTTGCTCTGCCTTGGTTGTTATCAGAATTGGAATGTCAGTTGTATGCTATTCTATACGCCACCCTTTAAAATGAATTGGAGTGTGCTTGGAAAAGATCCATGATGAGTCTCATCTGTCTTAAAGGAATGTTTGAAGAAATTTAAGTTATCTAGAAAAGATAAGACTCATAGTGGTTTATACTCATGGATGTAGATTTATTTCTTGTAACTTTGAAGATAGTGGAAGTTAGTCATTTAACGGTAATCTTAAAGAGAATTTGTGGCTGAGGAAAATTACTGTATAATGAACAATTTCATGGTACTTTTTCTCTGATAGTATAGTAGGCTGCCTGGTGAGGTAGTACATTCTTGTCCTGGTCGTGTCCAAGTATAAGTGAGATCAAAGTAGAAAGGATTTTGACACATACGATGTGTAGTTGGAACAGAAGACTTTCAGGATCCCTTACTAACCCTGAACTGTTGTTATTCCAAGATCAAAAGTACTTTATGGGGTATTATTTTATCCTCCTGAAACTACCTCACCTTAGTAATAGTATTTTGCATGGGCACAGCTCTTTACAGTTTATATAGTGCTTTCATATGAGTTATTTTACTTTTGAGCCCAGTAATAACCCTTTGGGTAAATAGGGCAGGTACCCCATTTTGAACAGGTGAAATACTATATAATAGACTAAGATAAAATCTGAAGTGTCCAAAATGATAAAGCTTCAAAGTGATTGAAGACTTAGACTCTACCCTGGTCTATGAATTCCAAGTTCAGTGCTGTTTCTACTATATAGTTGGCTTTAAAAATAAATTATAAATTTTGATACTTGTTTCGCATACATTAAAAATTTCAAGGAGCAGATGGTTCTTAAATTATGTAACTGTAGCTCAAGTAAGATTAAGGGTTCTAAAAGCTAAATAATGGAGAGGCTGTATTACAGAAAGATAACTGTTTACAATTAATGAGAAAATCTAATTTGGGCTATTAGATTAATGATGGTGCCATTCACTAAAATAGCAAATATAGGAGAAGTAACACATTGGTGGGCCACAGGTGAGGTGATTGAATTTTGGACATAATAAAAATAACTAATATTGTTTACTAAATGCCAGGCACTATGCTTAGAGTTTTATATCACTTATCTCCTTTCGTCTTCACAACAATTCTCTGAAGATAAGACTTTTTAATTTTCATTTTCCCTGTAATGAAACTGAGGCTTAGATAGTTAAATAACCTGTCCAAGGCTTCATAATTAGGAGTATATGAACTGGAGTTTGAATCCCATGTCTGACTCCAATACCAGTGTTCTTAAGAACTAGTTTAAATGCTCTTGAGATGTTTGGATAAAAACAATCAGTTGAATAAATGATTGTAGCTTTTAGGAGAAAAAGGTATCTTGGAGATACTCAAGTTTCCTTACCAAAGAAGTGGACAATATTGTAGCCTCTGAATGTGGCTTAGGAAAATAAATCCCCCACCTTTCCTGCATTTTGGCACCATTTCTATGCTTTTTGTAGTGTTATCTAGGCGTTCCCTAATCTAGGGACATCCTCTGTGAGTAGGTGAAATTGAAAGTTGTCCTTTGTATAAGGTTAATAGGCCTTCTAGGATGGGGGCCATGTTTTCTTAATGTTTATCTCCAGGTCAGTATCTAGAACATAGCATGAATGGGATGGATGGATGGATGGATGGATGGCAGGTACGGTTGAGAAGAGTAGAGAGAGAAGTTCATATTCAGAGAAGCCTCCTCATGTAGGGTATGGAGTGATAATCCTCCAAAGATGGTTAGAGATCCTTGTATACTTGCTGAATTAACAAGTAGTCAGCGGCTACTCCTTTTCCCAATGAGGGAGTGAGAGAAGACACTATGTGTTCCTGACTTCTGTTTTTGGTTTGCTTTTAAAAATTACACAAATAATACATATTCATCGTAGACACATTAGAATATTCAAATAAGCAAAAAAAGCCCGAAATTTAAATTGTCCAAAATTCTACCACCCAGAGATAGCCACTGTTAACATTTTGGTGTATATCCTTCCAGAGTTTTTCCCATACAAATATATACATTGGAACATGTATATATTTATTTTCAATGGGATCATTATAATCCATATTGTTTTGTAAACTGCTTTTTCACTTATTACATGTGACTGTCTTTCCATGTCAATAAATTTACATCTTTATTATTATTTTTAATGACCGTATAATATATTTAATTAGTTGTCTATTGTTAAGAATTTAGATTTCCAATTTTGAGTTCTTTTTGGAAAAAAGTTATGGTGAGCTTTCTTGTATGTACATCTTTGTACATTTGTCCTTTTTTTTAATGGAATTGATGGGACATTTCAAAAATTTATTGTGGTCTTTTTTTTCAACACTGACTCAGATTGCCTCCTGTAAGGTTGTGCTGATTTACACCTGGTCCAGCAGTATATACAGAGTGCTCTTTCCCTCATACCCACTTTAGCACTGAGTGTTATTTTTTTTGGTAAATCATTACCAATTTGAAAGTCAAAAGGTATCTTTGGGTTAAATGCATTTCTTTGATGAGTACTAAGGCTGAACTCTTTTTTCCCTTATTGCTCATTTCTGTTGAGGTTCATCGTTTTTTCTTACAGGTTTGTAAAACAAAGCTCTTTATGTATTGAGGATACCAACCCTTTGTCATGTTGCTTTTTCTTTTTTTGTAATCAGTTTGTCTTTTATCTTTTTTGTGTCTGGCAGAAAAAGTTTTAAACTTTTATGGATTCAAATGTCTATTTTCTTTATGATTTCAACCCTCCTTACCCCATGAGTATTATTCACCTATATTCTAATACTTGTGTAATTTTATTTTTTTACATTTAAATGTTTAATCCATTTGGAATATATTTTGATGTAGAGATTGAACTTAATTTTTCTCTGAAATAATTAATCAGTTACTCTGATTAATTATCAGTGGAGTTAGAATTTAGAATGTGTTTTGTCATACACAGTGTTGTAAATGATGTTTGACAAGGCCGAAATAAGACCATATGTAATGCATTTAACTATTAAAATAAATTCAAGGGCTCACCGGGAAAGGTAACTATCATTTATTTTTATGGAAAAAATGTTTTTATAGTTTCAAATAATTAATTTACAGATTAACTTTTGATGCACAACCTGTTGCACATTTGCAACTGCATACTTATATGGTGGTTCTACTTCATTAGAGCCCTTTAGGGGTACAAATATTCCTCAATGAATTTTTTTGTCTGCTTTCATTTAAATTTAAGTGATGTGACCTCTGTTTTGGTAATTTTCTACTTGCTGTACTTTTCACAGAATGGACAGCAAATTATGGATGAACCTATGGGAGAGGAGGAGATTAATCCACAAACTGTAAGTAAAATATGTATCACAAGGGTATAGACAAATCATACACTATAGAATTATTTCTTTTGAACTGAACAAAGTACTCATTATATAGTATTGACTCTTTGATGTTTTCACATTAATTTCACCAAAATACATTTTTGAATATGCCAGGAATATTTCTAAAAACTGTTTGATGAGACTTATTTTAAGGGAATGACAAAACAGATTGCTTTGGTTATTAAAAGTTTTCCATTAGTGCCTTGAAACTTAGATACGTGTATTATGTTTAGATATGTGGTCCACTTGGAATTTTAGCACCTCTTATGAGGTAGAAATCTAACTTTCTAAATAGATACCCTGTAGTCCTAATCCCTACGTATCAAATAAATAAACTCTCCACTCACTTGAGATACTTTTTATCAAGGATCCTCAAACTTTTTAAACAGGGGGCCAGTTCACTGTCCCTCAGACCATTGGAGGGCCGGACTGCAGGCCCTAGGATGAGTCGGCTGCTAAGCAGGACAGGCAGCGGCAGCAAAAATACCCGGTGGGCAGGATAAATGTCTTAGGCAGGCCGCAGTTTGAGGATACCTCCTTTTTGTCATATATAAAATTGCCTTATATCTTTGTGTCATTTTCCTAGGACTTCCATAACAAATTACTGCAAACTGAGTGGTTTAAAGCAATAGATGCCTCTCAAGGAGGCTCCTTCCTTGCCTTTTCCAAGTTCTAGTGTTTGTTGGAAATCCTTGTAGATTGTGGCTTGTAGACGCATCATTCCCGTCTCTGCTTTAGTCATCATATGAGGTTCTTCCTGTCTATGTCTATTGGTCTAAATTTCCCTCTTTAAAGGACACCTGTCCTTGGATTAGGGACCATCCTATTCTAATATGAACGCATCTCAATTACATCTGCAGAGACCCTGTTTTCAAATAAGGTCTCTTTCACAGGTACCACAGATTAAAACTGGAACATAACTTTTTGGAGGACATGATTCAACCTACAATCACCGTAAATGTTTTGACTTTACCTATTTTTTTAGTTACTGTAGTTTTATTATATGTTTTTATATGTGGCAAGGCAAACCTTCCCGCCTTTTTTACTTGTCAAAAAGTAAAATTACATTATACATTTTATCTTCCAGATGAATTTTACAATGAGTTTGTCAAGTATTCCTAAAAACTTTATTGAGATTCTTATTAGAATTGCATTAAATTTACAGATTAACATAAAAAAATTTTAGTAACATTGAGTCTTCATATCCAGAAACATTCATTTATTCTGATATTCCTTTATATCCTTTATAAAGTATTTATAGTTTCTTTCATAGAATTTTTGTACATTAGACATTCATCAAGATAATTTATAAGTATTTTATAGTTTTTGATATATTATAAATGGAATTTTTCTGCTGTGTCTTCCATCTGGTTATTATTGCTAATATATATTTTAAAAGTTATGTGTTTTATACATTCTTTAACATTTTGGGAAAGTTAACTTCAGAAGTCAAACAAATTGTCATAAACATTATGTCAATTATAGAAGAATAGATCATTTTGCTCTTCTGCTTAAAACACCTAGTTTTGTGCTTCCTTTAAATAAATTCCAGAATCCTCAACAGGACCTGCATAATAAGGACTATATATTTCTTTCCACATATTCTTTGGCCACACACCACTGCCCTCTGCTGTTATGTCCAGTCACTCAAATGTGTCAGCTTCTCTTTCTCTTGTGGGCTTTCATGGGTAATGTTCCTTTTCTCAGAATTCTTTTCCCTTACTACCTTTTTCCATTTAATTTGTGATCATCTTTCAGATCCAAGTTTAAGTATTTCAACTGAGACATCTTCCTCACAAAACTACCACTTACTCTTCTACCCCAATTAAGTAGAGGTTCTCCTTTGTGTTACCAAAGCAGCCTGTGCGTACCCTAAATGATACCACACCACATTCCATCCCACATTTATTTGTCCGTATCTCCTACTAAAATGTGAGCTGCATGAGACAATGTCCAAGTCTGACTTAGTCCTGATTTTATATTTGGTGCCTAATACTCAGTTGGTGTTCAATAAGTATTTGTTCATTAAGTGAATGCATGGATTAAATTTTAGCTGGCACAAGGACCCAGGCATGGGGCCTAGTGCCACCTTCAGATTTAGTCTCAATTCCTACCCTCTCCCAAACCATTTGAGGCACTTTACTTCTTTAAACTATAAATAAATGTGAAAATGATCAATAAGTGTTAATTATGTTTTTCCTGCCATCAGCTACCTTTTTTATTTGTGTAACCATTCCTTTGGAAGGAAAACTTTCAAAATGTTTTATTCTGTCTAATCTAAAATTAAAGCATTTTCATCATGATGATACATGGCTTGTACTTCCTCTTACTCATGGCATTAATAGCATTTACATCTGAGAGAAAACTGCATTCCAGACGTAAGTTGGAAAGGTACAGAACTAAGATATTACCAGCAATGTGGGTGAGGTGGTTGAGCAGATTTTTCCAAACTATGTTAATTAGGTTTAGGTATCAGATAAAATTCTAGTTTTTAATGTTTCTTTAATAGTATTACATCCAGGGAGGCGCCTGTGGCTCAAAGGAGTAGGGCGCCGGCCCAATATGCTGGAAGTGGCGGGTTCAAACCCAGCGCCGGCCAAAAGCAGCAAAAAGAAAAGAAAAAATAGTATTATATCCAAAAGATTGTCAAAATATTTATTAGCTTTGTACTTTTAAATTATCTTTTCCATTTTGTCAATTAGTAATAATTTATATAATGAAATTTGAAATGTTGTATTATCTGTTTGATGTGTTACTAATTACCCCAAATTAGGTGGCTTAAAACTACATACATTTATTATCTCCTAGTTTCTGTGGACCAGCAGTCTGGGCAGAGCTTAACTGCATCCCTTGATTCAGAAATACTCCCAGACTGCAGTCCAGGTGTGTGTTGGCCAAGGATAGAATCTCATTCTGAAACTTGGCTGGGGGAGGATCTGTTTCCAGGCTCACATGGTTGTTGGCCCAGATTCCTGGCCCACAAAAAGTGTGAGATAATAGATGCATATATGGAGCTTGTCAACTGGTAGGCTTTCTTACAGGTTGATTGACCCCCTTTCCCTGAGCTACAATGCAGAGTGTGATAAGCCAGTTTTAATCAGAACAAGGCAGTAAAGAAGATGGAGAATAACAAGAGAATAAACCTGGGTCCCTTACTCACGTAATGGTCTAGTGATAACTGTTCACTTGAACTACCCTCTTTTTTATTATAATAATTTTTTTATAGAGACGGGGTCTTGCCATGTTGCGGAGGCTGGTCTCCTGGTTGGTTTCTTGGGTTCAAACAGTCCTCCCACTTTGGCCTTCCAAAGTGCTGGGACTGCAGGTGCAAGCTACTACACATGGCCTAAACTATACTCTTGACCTACAGACTGCTCTATGAGAAAAAAAAATAGGCACTTACCTCATTTGAGTCATTGCATTCTGGGATCTTTTTAGGAGCTTAGTCTGTATTCTTACTAAATCTAGTCATTCATTAGCATAGTAGTTAATGAACGTCTGTTAGGTGCCAAGTACATTGTTAGATACACAAAAGCATTTAAGGAAAACTTGCCATTTTAAAATAGCAAAATAAAGCTGTTTTTATCCTCTTCTCCTCTGGGAGATTATCACTCAAAACAACAAGGAGAATAAGAAACAGAATTTTAGTCACTGAAACAGAAGACTTCTGTAATTTGAACCATAAGATATAAATATGAAAAGCAGATGGACAAATGTAATAAGGGGAAATTAATAAAACCTAAGTGATTTTAGAGAAGTATCCCAGTGGCAGCAAGTCTTATTCACAGCCTTCAGAGTTTCAGAAGAACTCAAGAATGGGGCTACCAGTTATTATGGAAAATAGAGGCATGGCATGGGGCTGAAAACAGATTGTTTAATGTTGATATAAATATCTTCTGGATTTTCTCTCCTCTGAAGAAAGAAGGTATTTCATAGAGAAAACCAGAGAAGCTCTAGATTTGGGCACTTTGGACACAGTAGAAAGTAAAATGAGGTACCAGGATGGAATCAGGGACATCAAGTGAAAACCTACTACCAAATGGGGTTATGGCCCTATTATACCCACCAGGACCATCTCCTCCTGGCAGGAGAGTAGGGAATCCTGACTAAAGAAATGTCAGATATTGACCTTTGGGATATCTTGTAGTATGTAGGCTGCCTACTATACGTATAAGAAAGCCTGCCAGTTGACAATCCCCAGAACTTCCAGGCCACTTTTTACTGCCTCACTCAATATCTGTGAAAAGCCAAATATCTCCAGACATGTGAGAAAAGCTATCAACATGAAAGAATGAGATCTTGGAGAAACAAACAATTGAGGAAAAGGAAAAAGAAAAGTTAAATTAATGTCCTCTGAGTGCTGAGACAAAATTAATTTCCTAAAACAAAAGTAGGTTGCTATTTAAAAAAAATAATCTCGGCTCGGCACCTGTGGCTCAAGTGGCTAAGGCGCCAGCCACATACACCTAAGCTGGCGGGTTCGAATCCAGCCTGGGCCCACCAAACAGCAATGACGGCTGCAACCAAAAAATAATAGCCAGGCGTTATATTTTCTTTCACAGTGGTATAATGATCATTATCTAAGATTAGGTAGAATACTATAGTACTCAAAAAATATTTTCCCAAAATGAGAACCATGAGTCTCCAAATTAAAAAAAATCCCATTGAAAATCTATTAATGGAAGAAAAAAAAAGTCCTACTCTGAACAAGGCTTATTTTTATTAAATATCAAAATACAAAATATCAGTGATAAACAGAAGACCTTAAAAACTTCTAGATAGTTTTTTAAAGTCATGTATAAAGAATTAGGTATAAGAGTAATATAGGGCTTTTTTCAGCATTGGAAGTTAGAAGATAGGAACAGTGCTTTTAAAATACTTAGTGAAAATGGTTTTCAACCAGACTATTTCCAGACATGTACTTACTTTAGGAATTTGCTGGAAAACGGACTCTGCCAATACTAGAG